CATGTTACTCTTCCTTCAGTTGTCATTGAAAATGATCAAGATATTTTTATTCCTAATAATGTTCACGAAACAACTCCAGTTCAGGGCAATCTCGAAAATATCCCCAATCAAGTACCTGAAATTATTAATGAGGATCAAACTCAACAACCTCAAGAACCTGAGGTGCCATTAAGGAGATCCACTCGAGAGAGGAGAAGTGCAATTCCGGATGATTATATTGTATTTCTCCAAGAACATGAGGAAAATTGGGAATTGGTGGAAGAAATAATTGTCTTCCTCCAAGAACAAGAATAAGATGTTGGTTTTGCGGAAGATGATCCAATCAACTTCCGTCAAGCCATGAAAAGTTCTAACTCTCAAGAATGGATTAATGCCATGAAAGATGAGATGAAGTCTATGTGTGACAATGACGTTTGGGAGCTAGTCTCATTGCCCGAAGGTATTAAACCCATTGGTTGTAAATAGATATTTAAAATCAAGAGGGATTCAAAGGGTAATGTTATAAGGTTCAAAGTTCGTCTTGTTGCTAAAGGCTACACTCAAAAGGAAGGAATTGACTATAAAGAGACTTTCTCTCCAGTATCTTCGAAAGACTCTTTTAGAACAATAATGGCATTAGTGGCACATTTTGATCTTGAGCTTCATCAGATGGATGTGAAAACTGCATTTCTCAATGATGACATTGATGAATCAATCTATATGGAGCAGCCAGAAAACTTTGTTTCGGGAGATCCAAAGAAAATGGTTTGCAAATTAAAGAAATCCATTTATGGGCTCAAGCAGGCTTCTCGTCAGTGGTATCACAAGTTTCATAAAGTAATCATATCTTTTGGTTTTCAACCAAATGTCAGTGATGATTGTATATACCACAAGTTCAGTGGGAGTAAACATATTTTCCTGGTTTTGTATGTTGATGACATATTGCTTGCTAGTAACGATATAGGCTTATTGCACGAAACTAAGAAATTTCTTTCAAAGAATTTTGAAATGAAAGATCTGGGTGAGGCTTCTTTTGTATTAGGAATTCAAATACACCGAGATCGCTCCAAAGGCATTCTTGGACTCTCACAAAAGGGCTATATTGATAAGGTTCTCAAAAGGTTTGGCATGCAAGACTGCAAACCAGGAGATACTCCAGTTTCTAAGGGAGACAAGTTTAGTCTCATGCAGTGCCCTAAGAATGGTTTTGAATCTAAAGAAATGAGGAACATTCCTTATGCTTCGGCTGTAGGAAGTTTGATGTATGCTCAGGTTTGCACAAGATCTGATTTGGCATACATTGTTGGGATGTTAGGCAGATATTTGAGCAATCCGCGAATGGACCATTGGAAAGCAGCCAAAAGGGTCATGCGGTATTTACAGAGAACAAAGGAATATATGCTCACATAACGGAGATTGGATCAGCTTGAGATCATTGGGTATACCGACTTTGATTTTGCTGGATGTCAGGATTCTTTGAAATCCACTTCGGGCTATATCTATATTTTAGCTGGAGGAGCTATCTCCTGGAGGAGTATCAAGCAGACTCTTACAACGACTTCCACCTTGGAAGTAGAGTTTATAGCATGTTATGAGGCATCCAATCAGGCATTATGGCTGCGAGATTTTGTTAGTGGACTGCGCATAGTGGATAGCATTGAAAGACCACTTAAGCTATTGTGTGACAATAGGTCAGCAGTCCTCTATGCTAAGAACAACAGTAGTTTGACCAAGACAAAACACATTGGGGTCAAATTTAAGGCTGTTAAGGAACGAGTACAAGAAGGAAAGTTATCTATAGAACACATTAGCACAAATTCCATGATCGCGGATCCGCTCACTAAAGGATTGCCACCCAAAGTGTTTCATGAGCATGTTGCTCAAATGAGTGTCAAATCAGTTGAGGATTATGAGTTTTAATGGGAGTTTGTAATGTTTCTATAATTTTGGTTAATTCAGTTTTTAAGGATATTTTCTGCAGAAATAAAATTTAAAGTTTAAAGTTTTATGTACTCTTACAGTTACATTATTGATCTCAAGGTGGACCAGTTGGAAATAGACATTCTATTCCAGACCACACTTCATGTTATTTCCACGCTACACACCTATACTTGATCCATGTCGTTTATTATATTAATATATGTGATCATTGATGGGTCTAGTTATGTGAATATAGCAAAGACTTCTTTGGTCCTATGTTGATATAAAGATGACTACAGTTTGATAGCAAAATTCTGGAGCTCCTAAAGTGAACATACAATACTAAGGATTGTGTATACATATGTGTATGTCGTCCAAGTGGGAGATTGTTAGATTATTGGACTTATACTACATATGATATTAACAATATATCATTTATTGGGTTAATTGTATGTTATATGCTATCTTATATTTAGCCCAAAAATTAGTGGTCCTATGAATATTAATTTAAGTGGGCTAATAAGTTATCTAATAAGGTATAGGGCCCAATTGTGTAGAAACCCATGGGCTTAACCTAATTAATGATGGGCTGATTAGGGTTAAGCATTCTCTATAAATAGAGGGGTTATGGTCCCTATTTGAACACGCAATTCCGTCTTTCTGCATCCCATCGCTAGAGAGATAATTCCCGAGGGTGTGTATCAACTAGAAGATCCAAACCCTAGCCTAGCCTCCGTCTCCCGGATCTGTAAAGTTCATCTCCAATGGAGTCAGGTACGCTTCCGCTCAGTTAATTCTCTAGATAATTCCAATATGAAGATTAAAGTATTTATGAATTTATTCCAACATTGTTTGCTGTCATGGAGTACTTAGTTACTTGCTGGCTTCCATTTTGCTTCAGTTTTCCAGCTAATAGCCAAATACTACTACGTACAACATTATACTCTAAAGTCTAAAACTGTAAAGTCTAAACCTTAATACAGTTAATTTTAATTTGCATTAGAACGTACTACTGGAAAGCTTGAATGTTCAAAGTTGACATTAAATTATAAAAGAATGTTCAAAGTTGACAGTTTAAGTTTATCTGTTTATAGTTTACACAAACTTATACTCCCTCCGTCCCTAATTTATCTCCCATTTCGGCTAGGCACATTTATTAAGATAGTGGGATTCGTGTGGTGGAGAGTTGTGCAGAGGAGAGAGAAATGCGTATGAATGTGTAAGAATGGTTGTGAACCACAAATTCTTTGTCAAAAGGGGAAAGAGGAGATAATTTTGGGACATACGAAAAAGGAAAGTTTGAAGATAATTCAGGGACGGAGGGAGTAAAAGGTTTTAGATTTTTAGTAGGTTAATTTAATCAACTCTAACGGTTTAACTAAAATTATACTGTACCTAATAAGCTTATAAGCCATAAAAACAGATCCATTCTGAAATAATTAACTTTATTAGCTGGCCAAACTATGAGTATTGCAAGAACAGTTCATCTATCCAAATAGCAATGGACCCAACCTGTAGAAGTTAAAAAAATGGTTTACATTTCTTTGAGGACATTTATCAAACACTTAACATACACAGTTCCAACATTGAGTTCATTACATTTACTTCTACCTTTCTATTAATCATTCACAATTTGACACACATTCATATGTATAGACATCCATGTTTGTAGATATACTTTGAATTTTTGGGGTTGTAAACAACAAATCATATTTAGAATTTTATAAAAAGCTGAAAGTAGTGAAAATCGAACAAAGAGTGAAGAGATTACCTGGAAAAAGTGTTCGCTTGTGCGACTGGTGCGGCTGGTACCTGATGGTGGAGAGCTTCAAACTTCAGACAGGCTGCTCGGAGATCCTTAATTGAGGCTAGAGACTAGGGTAGAGACTTGTGAGAAGATGAGAAGGTGGGAGAGACGGATAGAAAGAAGTCTCTGTGGCGGAAGAGAATTTCTGAAAAATAAATTGGGTGAACCGACTAAAGCTCCGAATCTGTAAAATCGCCCGATTAGGCGCACTAGGCGCCCGAGAAGTCGGACGGCCGACTTTGAGTCCGATTTTAGGGAAATCCCCTTGCCACATTAATGACTAACGACTAGGCGGCGCCTAGGCGGCCGCCTAGCCTGACTTTTAGAACACTGTCTCTAAATCATGCTTACTATATTCTTGCTTTATCAATTTAAAATATAAACCATATAAACCCATTTTTTAGTAAGCGTGTCACCTCCTCTTGTCTCAATATTAGTGGGACAGAGTTAGTACTATTTTAATATAGTACGAAGTATATATACTATCCTCCGTTCTTTAATAGTTGCAACAATTTGATTTTTCACATTTGCCAACGTATAGTTTTAATTGTAATTATATTTGATTACATATGAGTAAATATTATAAAAAGTTAATATTTTGGAAATTCGCATTAATAGAAATTTAATGACATTTATACAAAATAATTTGATTATACCAGAGTATATATTAGTACAAATTTATGGTCAAAGTAAGGTGTGTGAATATAACAAAAATCAAAATATTGCAACTATTAAAGAACGAAGCTAGGACGTATATACTTTACTAACAACAACTCTCTGGCTTGTTCAATGAAAGTGTTTATATCTTACAACAATATCAAATACTACCTCCGTTATTAAATAAGTGCAACATGTGAAATTTTGCAATATTCACATGTTCTACTTTGACTACATTTTATTTATTGATGTATTAATATATATTTTTGAAAAATATATTATTGATCTTATCTCATTGTAAATTTTCAAAAACTGATTTTTTACTATTAAAGAATTATATATATATATTAATGGTCAAAGTAATGTCTCGACAAGTGTGAAATGTTGACTGTTGCACTTATTTAAGAACGATATAAAATTTGTTTGCACAAAAGAACTGTACTTCAACTTTGGGCAAAGGCTGGCCCCTTGCGCGATGAAACGCCAGTTTGGGGGTGTTTGGAACTGATTCTGCTTCTGCTTCTTTTTTAAAGCAGAAGCAGAATCAGAATCAGTTTTCAGAAGCTGGTACCTACCAGTCTAAAAAAAACTGATTCTAAGTATAAATTGGAGCACCAGAAGTACTTCTGGAATTTCAGCCAAACACCCCTTTCTTTAATACGTAGTACTCCGTAATTCTTCTTCTTTGCTCCAATGGCTTTGCCTCAGCAGGTCGTGCATTTCCATTCTTCATCGGTAACCTCGAACAAACCCTACCTAAATCCTTGTAAATATCTCCTTGGATCACCATCTCTCCATCGCGGCCACCAGCGGCGGGGAAACGCCAATTCTCTCCGCTTCTCCGCTTCTTCATTCTCCGAGATTCACCACGCTGGTTCCCCCAAGTCGGATGACGTTACCGAACTCCCACTTTTCCCCTTACCCTTGGTGCTCTTCCCCGGTTCTGTCATCCCTCTCCAGATCTTCGAGTTCCGCTACCGAATCATGATGCACACTCTGCTGCAGACCGATCTCAGATTCGGAGTGATCTACTCCGACAGCGCGACCGGCGCCGCCGATGTTGGCTGTGTCGGAGAAGTTGTGAAGCACGAGCGGCTCGTGGACGACCGCTTCTTCCTAATCTGCAAAGGGCAGGAGCGGTTCCGAGTAACAGATCTGGTACGGGCGAAACCCTACCTGGTGGCACAGGTGACGTGGCTCGAGGACCGGCCGTCAGAGAACGGAGAAGAGGATCTAGAGTCGCTGGCGAACCAAGTCGAGACATACATGAAAGACGTGATTCGATTGTCAAACAGATTGAACGGGAAGCCGGAGAAGGAGGCGCAGGATCTGAGGCGGAATCTCTTCCCGACGCCGTTCTCGTTCTTCGTCGGAAGTACGTTCGAAGGAGCGCCTAGAGAACAGCAGGCGTTGCTGGAACTGGAAGATACAGGTGTGAGGCTAAGAAGAGAGATGGAGACATTGCGGAACACTTTGAATTATTTGTCAGCTGCTTCTGCTGTGAACGATGTGTTCCCTTCCTCTTCCTCTCCATTAGAATGAATGGATGACTTAAAGTGAGGGGCATAATCATAGGGTTTGTTTAATGATCTCTCTGTATAACTGAATGAATTTATGTATTCTGTAAATTGATGAACTTTGTAAGGATTTATAACTTAATATGTTTATAAATTTCAATTTCTACAGTCTCTTGTTTTTTCCAGGCATTGTTTGATCTATCGGTCAAAGTTCATATTGCTTCAGGGGTAAGTTCTTATCTGCCAGGTGCAGAGGCTATGGACTAATGAGTAACTGGAAATGATATCCTCTCCCATACGGGAATGGACTAACACATCTAAACTAATAATGTTTTGATCAAGTGGCTAAATTTTCCTGGGCACCCTACTTTGTTTTGGTAGCCGGGCAGGGATCTGGCGTCTCCGTTTCAAGGATATCGAGGCCCTTCTTTCGATCTTTGCCCTCCATTTGCTCAAGGCACCCTGCATTAATGGCTCGAGCAGAGGATCCCAGACCGCCAGGCAGAGCCCAATTCGGAGTAACCACAATGCACCATTCCACAACCTATCTAGACCCAGCGCGGTTCCAATTTTGGATGACTGATTATGGGTTCGAACAAACCCTGTCTATCAGTTTGGATTTTGGTTTTCGGGATTCTTGTTCAATTGGTTATATTACCAGTTGATTCGGCCTGGTTGCTGACATGGTTTTGGATCACTTCCGTTGCCATTCCTGCCTGAAACCGGAAAATATATTTGGTTGCTGAGCAAAATCAGCACTCTCTGCAGTTGTTTATGTGGTGGGATCTGCAGAAGAAAAGTGGGGATTGAATGTTATGAGCCTTTTCTTTGCAAAGTTCCACACTTCCATAGTTCCATCTAAATAATTCATCATCATTACTAAATGGATAAGAACAAATTCATACAAGCCTTCTGTTGGAACTTGGGAATTTGTAAAAGGTGACATGAACAAACTTCCAAGTTCCTACTTCTCAAAGTGAACCGAATTTAACTACCCAATGTCCCAATGGTTACTTCAACAATAACGAACATTTTGAAAAACAAAACAACAAAGTTGCTGCCAAACATCTTGGATTTTGATAAGAATATAGCTTAGCAAATTTTAAATTTACTGGTCTAGTTACACTCGTGGAATCTAATTTGCTAGGATTGTGGCTTTAGATTACACTAGAACGGATCATATTAAACCAGGACACATCTGAAAGTCTGAAGCTACTTATGTAGTACACGTCCTTTGAAACTCTGCTGTGTTTGAGTATCTCGTAGGATTATTCCTGAATATTCTCCCTTTGCGCACAAGATGCACCTTATTAGTATGTTGCCATGTTGGCATGTCCGCATGTGCAGTATCATTGTTCATTTTATTAACTTCTTTTGAAAATATGAAGTTGATATGAAAATATGTTGATTCGAGTAGTATCACATGTTGGAAATACTTTTACATATATCGGAAGCAATACAAGAACAAATTGAATGAATTGTTCAATAATTCGATGACCTTTATCATGTTGAATAATAGAGTATAATAAGAATACTACCTGGATCCATAGCGAAGTCGCAGGAGGAATGGAACGAGGTAGATAGCGTCTGGATCTTCCTCAATTGAACCCGAGGCGTTAGTCTCTCTTCCGATGGGGAGAAGAGAAGTGAATTGGCGGTTCAATATATTGGGGATCATAACCTTTATATAGAGTGTGTTGGTCAAGTTAGGGCTCCCATTATACCCTAACAAGTAACACAGGTCTCTGCCCATTTATTTGGCCTATACAATTTATCTTAATACTCTATTGGGCTTATATAATATTGACCACATAAATACAACCCAATTATGATAAATAGCTAATACAATAATTATAATATTAGCCCATATTAATTATTGGAATAAAATATTCCAACAATCTCCCACTTGGGCTACATATTGTAATTATATTTCTTTAGGCGTGCCTTAGTATGCTATTTATCTTTAGACTTGAACTTAGTCAATCTGGTCCACCTCATGTATTAATAATGGAATTACTGCGGCTTTTGTCATATTGTTAACTCATGACTAAACCACGACAGCTACCATAAAAGCCGCAGTAATTCCATTATTAATACATGAGGTGGACCAGATTGACTAAGTTCAAGTCTAAAGATAGATAGCATACTAAGGCGCGCCTAAAGAAATTTAATTACAATATATAGTCCAAGTGGGAGATTGTTAGAATATTTTATTCCAATAATTAATATGGGCTAATATTATAATTATTGTATTAGCTATTTATCATAATTGGGTTGTATTTATGTGGTCAATATTATATAAGTCCAATAGAGTATTAAGATAAATTGTACAGGCCAAATAAATGGGTAGAGGCCCGTGTTACTTGTTAGGGTTTAATGGGAGCCCTAACTTGACCAACACACTCAATATAAAGGCTATGGTCCCCAATATATTGAACCACCAATTCACTTCTCTTCTCCCCATCGGAAGAGAGACTAAGGCCTTGGGTTCAATTGAGGAAGATCCAGACGCCATCTACCTCGTTCCATTAAGCATCGGGATTCCATTGACTTGAGTGGTAAAATTAGGAGCATTGGCAGTAGCAACTAAAAAAAGAATAATAATAATAATATATTATTATACGCTCCAAATTACAACCAATTTTTGTGAAATTACAAGACTCAAACAAGATACCTAGTGCAACATTATACTCCAATCTTTGGATTGGTAGGATAATTGCATTGGTACTCTCAATGCATTAATCAAATATTGGTGATTAGTCCTGTCAAATAATGGTTGCCTTTGGGCATTCCTCTATTCACATGGAATGAAAATTAAAAAATTAAATTTTCCCTTATAATCACCACATATTTATTATTGCAGGTATGTAAATAATCCGGTCAAATTATGTCTTCCTTTGGGACGATCATAATTCACATGAATCATCACATACAAATATCTATGATAAAATTTTAATTGAATTATCTTTCAAAAAAATAATAATTGAATTACTCAATCCAACAAAGGTTACTTTGGCAACGTGTGGTTTGAATTAATCCAACAAAAAATTATCAGACAATTTTATTAAATGGGAGGTCTTAAAATTTCAAATATTTTGTCCCAATTCCTCAACGTTGTATAACTAAGAATCCGAAGGCACAAAGTGCAAATACTCCTTCCTCGGAAGAAAACGGGTATATCTTTAAATTGGATATGATTGCATGCACTTATTTCATACCCATTTTAAAACATAAAAGCATATCAAATATCGTAATGTATATGTCCAAGTCATTCCTTAAGATATTTTATGCTTAAATTAAAACACCATATGCGTTTAAAATATACTTACGCGTATACAAAACCTAATGTATACCAAGTATATACTTAACATATATACACACATTTAATTCTTTAATTAAATTTAATACTTGGTGCATATATATACTTATCATATATACAATCATGTGTATTTAAAGTATGTATTTTACTTGACATATAATACACACACGTGTGACTAATTTGAACAAAAGAGTTCAATTGTATCCATATATAAATATATACATGAGTCAAACTTTAAACATATATGTTCTTACCATATATATACTTTACATATACACACGTGTGTAAAATTACAAAATTCCATACACACACGTATGTAACCATTCAAACAATTGAAATTAACTTCATAATTGATTTTAAATATTAGCAATTCCATCATAAGATACCTAACACAATATCTAATATTGTCGTTGGACATAAATTAGACTTGCAAGTGGTACTCTTGGTGCAATAATAAAATTTTGATAATAAATTCATGTCAAATACTATGGTTTTCTTTAGACCGAATTAATATTCACATGAAAACTTTATAATTATCACAAATGTACTTAAATTTCTTCCAAATAATAACCTTCCTTTGGGCCGGTTATTATCCGCATGAAATAAGAAAGTACACAATCATCTTAATATACAAGTTAATTAATTTAGACAAGAGAGGCTACATTGAAAGCATCTTGTGTCAATTAACCAACCCAAATATGAGACATGCTAATATTAAACCAAAATTGTAAAAAAAAGCATTCTTAACATGCATGTACACACGTATAAGAGCATCTTCAATGCTAAAACGTTAATGGCACATACAAGGCATGAGAAATAACCAATTAAAAAACAATAAATACAATATCTCTCTTCTTCTTTCCACGGTCTTATGTGTTTATGGTAAGTTTTTGTCTGCAATGTCAATCACAATGTCTACATCTAGACATTGTGCGTGACATTGCAGAGAAAAACTTACCAAAATGGTGTAAGATCCTTCAAATAAGGAGAGAGATATTGTATTTATTGTTTTTTAATTGGTTATTTTCCATGACACGTATGCACCGTTAACGTTTTACCATTGGAGATGTTCTAACCGTATAGGTATATAATACCGATAGTATTACACATTCCCATATATGGATACTTACCATATATATACACATATGCGAAATGTAACCAAAACATATGCACTTGACATAAATAATACCCGTATATATACACGTATGGAAGTTAAAAAACTCCAAATAAATGCATGCCACACTTGCCATAATATATACGAAGTATGTTTTAATGTATGCAACTATGTAAGATACACTTAACATATATACATCATATATGCATATACGTGTGAAAAAGAAATCAAAAAACACATATACCTTTTGTATATGTAATATATACATAAATGCATGTAAATCTCTTCAATATAAATACACATACATGCTTAGCAAATATTACGTAAAGAGGTAATTTTATCATTAATAAAAAATTGAACACAAAGTTTCAACCATATTGAGTAAGCATATCATGCATATGGCTGATAAAACCATACCTTAGAGATTTAAACTCACAATATACATTTTGTCTTCAGCAGTTAATCACAATATAATGACCCATCAAAAAATAATCACATCAAAAAATTTATATTTCTAATGAAACAGATGTTGGCCGTAATTACATATTTAATTACCTATTTACCCAGAGCCATGAAAATTTCCAAAATTGAATCGACATAAAGGAAACATATCAAAATTTAATTTGATATCTTCGGCCGACTCAAAAATTGTTACCAAATCTAGACCAAAAGTACATAATATGATTCCTTAAAATAAAATAGCTCGAAAAATGATTCACTACGAATCAAATCAATCTGCCACATCCAATAATA